ATCCAGATCATTGTTGGTTTGGAAACCGCACTCTAACTTTTGTCGAATGTGTGGACTTCTCTGCGACAATATCACGCCTGGTTGCTTCATGAAGAATGACACCCGACCTCATGTAAGTTACTATGCTGCGAACGATGGCTGCCCCGTTTCTGCCTCTCATGGCAACTGAGACCACACAGGGCCGTGGCCTGGGTCATAGCCTCACGGGACGGCCTTGAGATGAATGGTAACGAGCGTGTGTGATGTAACGCCGTTATGTCGACCTCTTTCAGAGATGTGGCTCCTGGTATACTTGATGCAGATGCAAGCAGTCCAGAAACATCCCCCGGCATCATTGGCAAGTCGTAAAATACCTCCGAGGAAGCTGTATGCTTGTACACTGACAGCAACACCACGCCCCTCAAACCGAAAACATCCACAGCGATCGCGGACTGGATATTGAGCATGGGATGGAAGAACGTGGGTGCTCCTTCCCTCCTTCCCTCCTTCCCTCCTTCCCTCCTTCCCTCCTTCCCTCCTTCCCTCCTTCCCTCCTTCCTTCCTCGCTGCGGAATGCTTCTCGGAGAGTCATTACATGTGATACTAATTTGCTGGGAGAGGGATAAATACTTTGACAGGTCGCAGTCCTGGTGACGGTAAGGCGGCCAAGCCCACACCATGTCGAGGCGAGTCGCCAGTCTTGATGCTGACGCATTATCCTTCGGACAGGACCCGTCACTTGGTTCATACTCGAGCGAGCTCGCGGATGGGTTCATAATACGAGCGGACATGCTCGGAATCCAAATCCGCCTGTATCATCAGTTTGTCTCGACGCCGGAGGGGCTCGACATTGCTTGCAAGAAAATCATTACATCCCAGGTCAAGATCGTGTTGGTGTAGGTACAGGGAGTCAGCCTGCTCGAAGAACCTTTGGAAACTCATGGGCTGAAATCGAGTGTGTTGGGCTTGACTTGAGCCATACTGACGGCCCCCTCGGGGTTTGATACCAAAACTCAGCTTTGGACATGTGGATGACATGGCGCCGTTGTATGCCAAGGTAAGCATAGCTATCGAACCGTGCCGATGGAGCGATCGAAATGTACTGACTCTATTTCTGCGGTGTGCTTGGCTTTACAGGCCAGGTGGGGTTCTGTTTGTAGCCTGATACCATACCGATGGCAAGTCTGTTGTCAGAGATTGATATCGTGTTCCACGATAGCGGCTACAACTTGACCACCATGGACTATCTGTGGTAAGTGTCTCGCACGCCCTCGATTCACTGTCGCTTGCCAGTATCGACTAACACCGATCCCATTACCGCGGTGAGGTGGCTGTCTGATGGGACCTACACCCTCCAAGAGCTGCAAGCCAATCTCAACATCAACTTTCCCGCAAACACAACCTTTGCGCCGGCCTTCTCCATGTCTGTCACGGGGGGGGGTTATCTCTTTGCACGTCGCTCAGTATGACTGTGCCAGCGTTATACACCAATATGCCGAGAAAAAGCAAATGCGTTGTGATTCTGTCCGTGGATGCGCGCATGCTTATCTGACAGGTCACCCGCCTTTGCCACTCAATCCCAAATGCCGACCATGAACAGAACCCGACCCTCGGTCGTGCAGACCGCCCAGGACTACAAGCTCTTCACCAATCTTTACGAGCGTTCATTTGGCGAGCCGGTTACCGAAAGCATGCCTCAAAAGTTTTATCTCGTGTGAGTATCATCACAGAGTGGGAGTGAGAGTGACAATGGCAGTGGCAGTGGAAGTGGAAGTGCGAAAATCGATGCGATTATGCTGGTCGCACAATTGATGCAGCGTATGCGAGGTCTGGTGACGATGACAGCGCACACGAAACCTGAGTAGTAACTGTATTTCTGGACCCTGATTTCATTTTCCAGGGCAGCGTGGGAGACGATATCGATTCTCGTATATGGCCTGGCCAAGGTACGTAAAGAGCCCGGAAGACTGCCACAGCGATTTTGGTCCTTGGCAGGGGGAGGGGAATCGCCACGAGCATAATAACGAAAGATAGAAAATGGGAGCGGTGTTCAGTATAGCCAGTGTCCATCAGCTGGCTCTGACACCATCCCGTCTCGGTTGTCTTGGGTCATTTGTGGTACCCTGCGATCCGATCTTCAGCTCCTCCAGGTGTATCCCCAGAGCCAGGCCCAGGACCTGCTTGACAACGACCTGGGCTACCTCATGACTCCTGATATCTTCTCGACGCTGCATCAAGGCGCCCTCGGCAATGTATGTCAACCAAAATTTTGGCCTCACCCCACCTCCATGCCTGCGCCAATGAGCGTGAAGCATAGCTGCATATTCGGACCAGATAACTAAACATCCAGATCTCTCCCACGGGATCCTTCGTCGCTATGCGCTACTCAAACGGCATGATCGGCTGGGCAGTTCACCTTTGATTCGTTTGGACGAAAGGAATCCATGTAAGTGGAAGGACGCAACGGGGCCATTGCAAAGTGCATCGCGTCAAGATGCTGATGCATACTTGTCGATATCGCCCTCAGAATGGTCGATGTCTCCTATGTAAGGTGTCTCGAGGATGGATGGGCGATTGGACCAAACGCTGCGCCTGTCGCTTGAGTGAAGCTGCACCATGCCTCACGATGGGGTCGCATGAAATCCGATCTGTTGCCGACAATGAATGCTCTGGATCCTCCGCTTTCCTCTCCCTTTCAACTCCATCCGCAAACACAAATACACACAACTACACCCAAAACACGGCTCTGGCAGAATCCAGACCCCGCCAACCAACCCAACTCAAACAGATACCGGTTCATTCAATACGAAAGTCCTACGAACATTTCCTGGCCAAGCCGATCATGGATCATAGGAGAAAACCCGTTCTTCAATGGATCGGGTGAGGAACATCTGACTGGCTGGCTGGCTGGCTGGCTGGCCCGGGGGAGGGGCACCGAGAGGACATACGCTGTCAACGACAATGTGGCTTGCGGAGAGTCCAATACCAAGTCTTTCGAAGCGTATCGATCCTGAAGCACCGCACTCATTCCCGCTACATTACTATGTCCCCTCGATATGCCTTCGCTGAATCGACGCCTTTGGATGTATTTTCACTATGATCCACTACAATCCACTACAATCCACTCTTTCGCTCAAACAACAGCGTCACTTCCGATTCCCACTGACTTTCCGCCGAGCATTGACCAAGGATTCAACGCCACACAGCGCTTGATAACAAAAGTCGTTGCTGTCTGTCTGATGATCGCGTCTCTCAGCTTTGCGGCCTTTGTGGTCCTGATGCGGGACCAGCCTGCGACCATGTTTGGAAACCCATGGTTCTACATCTCAGGTGAGAGGCGCTTGTGTCCGCCGGCGAGATTATCGAAAGTGATCATCGCTTCCTCTGCGATTCCGGACCATGTATCAACGGTCATTCTTGCCATTCTTGCCATCACGCCTCTAACTTGCTGAGCCTCGCATCTTGTTTCCGGTGGTGGGCGACCAGTGGCGCTCGGAACTTGCGTGGTTCATGGATCGATGTTGTTTGCGATGAAGTCACCCCCGGACCAGAGCGACTGTACGATCATTGAGTTCATGCAGGCGGCCGGGTGCGGGCTTGTCATCAGGTGAGTCGCTCTGCCATGTCCTCTCGGTCAGATGAATGCGAACGATCGTGCCCTGCTCATCTCAGACCTGCCTCCATTTCGCTGATTCATGACGTCCACAACGCAGCTCGGTCGTCGCCAAGGCCCATCGTAAGTGGACGGTGTGATGGCGCGGGGAAAAATGCGAGAAGATGAGGGCCTCGTGGTCGTCGCTGAAGCCGCAGAGCCGCGCGATCGACTTACTTCCTGGGTGGAGCTGTTCGAGGGTTGCTAACGGTGGCGGTCGTTCGATCAGACTATTGGGCTTATGCTCCAACGAGGTTCCATGCTCGCTCATCACTGTCGACGAGCTCTATTATCTTCAGCCAGTTGACGATTTTGTCGATCAACATGGTGGGTGAACTCCCGGCCCAGTGCGGTCACTCACTGCAACTACCAGCATGGGCAATCGCCTCCAGTCCCACTAACCCCGCTCACGCACTCACCGATCTCGCTTGGCTGCTTGGCCACCAGACAATATGCTCGGTCGTCGCCCTCCGCTTCCTGCTCGTCCCTGTCCTTGTCCGGATCAACGACTTCCAGTACTACACAACATGTGCTCCGTCCGGCTCAGGTGTCCTTCCGATCGGATTGGTGGTGTTCAACATTCTCTGTCTCCTTTACGCCGAATATCGACTGACCCAGCAGCTCAACAACACCAAGATACCCTTGGTGAGAAGTGCGGAGGCAGCGGAAGAGAGAAGAGAAGCAACTGAATGTGGGTCTTTGAGGCGGCTGTCGTGGCCTAATTGGGGCCATGAGACCGGACAGGCACAGGGACCATGCGGGCCACTGGTGATCTGGTGCCGACGATGCCGCGGCTGGCAAGGTATCCGACTCAGCGGGATGACAGCCCGCGAGAGGGCCAACTGACGGGTGCTGACCAATTGTAATCATGTATGTTCGTGGCGACATTGCCGCTTGTCTGTGGATCTCTCTGGATGGATGGCAATCGGTGTCCACGGATTGTCTGCTCACAATTGTGGCCATTGGGGCTTTACGGCGCCATACTGCTCGGCACCTCACGATGGCCAACTCGATTGCAATCCGGATGTTTGATACTTGAATCGCGGTCTGTCCAGAACGAGAACTGGCTGATGTTCATGTGCATCAGGTATGTGGCAGAAGAGTCGCATCGTCACCAGCCCGGTCCCCCCAGGTCATCAGCGCCCAGGATGCTCATATAGCTGTGATGTGGAGACTGGATGGTAACGGCTATGGTGGTGATGCCGAGGACGACGGCCATGCGATTGTGGATGCAGCACCCGACTCTGCACTAACCCGACTCTGCACTAACCCGACTCGGGCTGGCCACCACCCACAATCGAATGGATCCCTCGCGCTGCTTTCCAGCAACGCCCTCCTCGTCGGAGCCATCGTTTTTGGATTCAAATGGACCAACTTTCTGCAGTACAGGGCGCGGTACATCTTGTACATCGTCGTGGTGGTCTGGATCCCGCTGGCGATCCTGCTGTGTGTGGCGATCCCGCTGATCCTGACGATCCTGGGGCTCGGCAACCGGTCGTCCAACTCCAAGATCATGCTGTATCTCAACACCAAGGGCAGCAACTTTGACCTGGCAGAGGTCGAGAAGGACCGCAAGAACGTCTTGGACCTGAATCTGGGCAGCGCCGGCGAACTTGCGGACTCATTCAACCCGACCCAGGACAACGGGATCATGCACGAGACGATCCGATATGTGGCATGCGTAGGTCGCAGGAGCTTGGGTGTGCACTCTGCAGTCCGCATGCATCTTGCCGGTGGTGTCGAGCTTGGACATGGACACGATTTGTTCGAGTGGCTCGGATCGGAGGGCCCTTGTCGTCCTCACTGCCAGTGCGCTGGGATGCTAACGACCAAACATGGGCCTTGACAACCGATCCAGAGGAGCATATCGATCCAGCGCTCCGACGAAGACAGCAGCACCATCCAGGAGCTCGGCCGCGGCTGCAGTGTCTATATGCTGCCGTATGCCCCCAACACCTTCATGCTGCAAACCAAGGTGAGACTATACCCTCTGGCGATCGCCAGAGAGCAGGCCATTTGGCAGGCGGGTTTGTCAACGAATGCATCTCTGTACGCGGCCATCGAGCCAACCAATACTCACGACTCTGGGACGGGGGACCGCGGCATTCAGGACGGCAGTCGCGGCGTCGTGATGAGCATCAGCCAGCAGCCCTATGTCGAAGTTCACACGACGATGAATGTCTCGACGATCCGGATCCTGGATGAAGAAGTGAACTGCTGGGGACTCGAGCTCGAAGATCGCTATGCTCTCAGCATCCTGGCATACTTGGACGGGCTGCTGTACTGAGGGCACTGGCACCATAGATCCTGCGGCGTTGTACCAGCGCTCGCCAACCTTGTGCCCGGGGTTGTATTGCGGCGCGGGGGGTCATTGCGCAGGGGCCATGTGGTGTGGGAATGTCCTCTGCGTGACGGCGACCACCCTTCAACACGGACCCATCTGGCCGGGCTGATGTCGTGGACAGCCAGCAAGGGGAAGTGGCCCAAGCCCAAAACGGGACCAACAAGCGCTTTGGAAGCACTGACAACCGGCGACGCTGCGGCCTGTGCCGTGGGTGCGACGGCGACGGGGGGGGCATGTTGAAAGATGCTGTGAAACACTGTGGGACGCAGTGAGATGGAGTGGGACGCTGTTAGATGCTGTGAAACGCTGTGGGACGCAATCAACGATGTCGACAACAATGCCGACAACGATGCCACAGCACAGCATCCGCAGCAACGACGCGGCACGCAAAGGAACCATGTCCGTGGACAGGCCGGGCTGAGCTTTGATGGATGCAAACAGCAGGCCGAAACAAGCAAGTGGCCCCTCCGCGGTGACCAGCATGACCCAGGCGGCGTGCGACGCTCTGCCTTGCTTCCGAGGGCAACTCTCCCGCAGGGGTCTTTGTGGGCGGAAAGGCCAAAGCGGCTGCGCTGGCATCGGGTTGACGAGAAGCGCGACTCTTCTCTCTCCTCCCCCCCCCACGAAGGCAGCACACTCTTGTCGGCGCACGAGCGCACGATACGACAAGACCTGGTGGAGCTGTGGGCTGTGGGCAGAAACAGGAGAGATGCAGCGTGGGCCATGCCAGCGAGAGCCACTGCAGCCCGGACGATAGACGGTTTGGCCATGCCGGGCGATGCATCGCAGCATGAACAAATGGCTGCATCGACAGTGGCTCTCTTAACGAGACGGTGTGCCGAGTGGGCCGAGACGACGGACCGACGCTTGTTGCCCGACACGGCCGTGCAGAACAGCCACTGTGACTGTGCGATGCGCCTGTGTCACCTACAGTGTCGCACACGTACACTGCTGTGGTCATTGTGATCACTGTGGCTGTGGGTGTGGTTGTTGTCGCTGATTACTTCTGTCTCGCAGCTGTCTGCAGCCACACAGACAGTGGCGGCGATGCACTGGCTCAAACGCTGCATTGGACATCGGCATTGACTTGACAGGAGCGCCATCAACACCAATACCGTCAATATCAACACCGATACTAAAACTACCAATACCAATACCAATACCAATCAATGCCAATACCAATAATATTAACAACAAGATTAACAACAATATTACCACCGATCCATCAATATCAATCTATCACTACCATGAATACCACCTTGCGCTCGCCCGCCTTGCCGCGGTCCTTTGCGCCGTTGTCCCCCGCACAGTCTCTGCCCGTCTTGGCCCCGTTGCTATTTCGGTCGGCCTTGGCTGGTCCTGTTCTTCGCCCCCATCTTGCATTCCGGGCTTATCGGCCCTCGTCCCCGCTCGACTCGGCCGACTCTCCTCCGTAGCGAGACACCGCACTGAGCGGCTGCACAACTCACCACCGTTGTCCGGCCCGAGCTGCTTGCTCGTCCAAGAGCCCAGGCAACTCGTTTGGACATCCCACACACCGCATCGGCGTATCGACCCGAATCGCATCGACCCGAATCGCATCAGACCCGTATTGCACCAGCCCGTATTGCATCGGCCCGTATTGCACCAGCCGTATTGCATCGGACTGTACCGCAGAGTCAAGACACTCCTGTCGACTTCTACAATCGAATCGGCTTTCGCATCGCCGAATCGCCTTTACCCCCCCCCCGCACCAACAGCGCCGCTCAAGCTCCGGCTGTCCATTCCATCCCACGCCCGGACGCACCGTCGCCATCGGCCTTGACCCGTCTTGTCCGCTCCCCGCAGCGCTCCTCGCAGCGTCCGTCGCAAGTCCGGCGGGATCCCCCTCCTCTTCTGGCTCGCTGCGTTCCTGGCGCTTCCTGTATCGGTCTGCTTCGCTGCATCCCTGTGGCGCCTTGCTTGGCTTTCCTTTCCGTCGTCCGCTGTTTCTGTCTCTTCCGCCACAAAGATCGGCACCGAAGACGGCTTCTATCTCTGTATCTAGGGCAGAACCATCTCGGGCGTGTTCATTCCTGCAACGATCATTCGACTCGAGCGTGTCTTGTTCTTCGACGCTCCCGCTCGCTGATTACCTCGGAAACAACCGTCTTCGTCGGCTCGTCCACGGTGGCATCGATCTCAAACACCTGTCTGCAAATCTATTCTGGCGACGGCGCTCTCGTCCCAGAAACTGTATCAACTGCCTAGAGACTCTAGATCAACGAGCGATAGCATCTCTCACTATCGATCATCAAAGCCGATCCACGCCCAAGAGGATCTGCACGTCCACCAGCGACACCGTCGTCCACCAGCCGCATCCACCGCCGCCGCCATGTCTCAGCATTTCGCGTGTCTGTCGCTACTCAAGATCAACCCTGCCCTGTCCAGCTCCAACATCACCCCACCATCGCCCCCGTCGTCGGGCCTGCTGCAGCATGCCACCCTCACCATGAGCAAAACCATTGTCTCGTCCTCGACCCTGACCTCCGAGCTCGCCGAGTTCCTGTCGTCCTTTGTCTACTCGATGTGGCACTCGCTCCCGCTCCAGACCGCCGTCGTCTCCCTCAAGACGGGGCCCTCGACCTTTTCGCACTTTTGTGAGTCGCTGCTCAAGAACACGGGGCTGTCCTTTTCGGTCGTGCTTGTGGCCCTCAAGCTGATCCACCGCCTCAAGCAGAACCGCCCCGACCTCACGGGCGTCGAAGGCTCCGAGTGTCGCCTGCTCGTGTGTGCCCTCATGCTCTCCATGAAGGTGCTCATGGACAACACCTACACCAACCGCACCTGGGTCAAGGTCTCCAAGATCCCGCTCAAGGAAATCAACATCATGGAGGTATGTCTTTGGCTCTGGTCGCGTCTGACGAAGCGCGATACTGTATTCCAGCGGCATGGCGCTATATCCCGCTGCTGTGGCTAGCCAGACGGCGCTATCGCCAATCTGCCCAGCGCTCTTCCTCGCCCAATCATCGCTGGAGGCACAGTCCCAATCCAACATGATCATGCGGTCGCTTTCGAATCTTGTCCTTTCATATCGCTGACGAATCTTGTCCTGCCGTATCGCTGACGATTTGTCTCCCCTCCACTCATTTTGGCGCGCTGCTGGAACAAATTACATCGTGCCGCCGGCTCTCATCCACCATCACCATCACCATCACCATCACCATCACCATCACCATCACCATCACCATCACCATCACCATCACCATCACCATCACCAACAGATGGAGCTCCTGGTTCAGCTCCACTTTGACCTCTTTGTTAGCGAGTACGAGTATCTCGTCTGGATCCACTTTGTCGACGATACCCTCAAGGAATACCGGTCCTGTGTGCGCACCTTTTCGGACCAGGAACAGCTCTGGCGCCTGCAGCGCCAACTTGCGCCGTCCGACCCCACCGCTCTCTCGGCCGGGATGCAGTCGATATCCATCGACTCACTGCAGGCGAAGCTACATTCAGGCGGATCCCGTTCGCTCGGCCATTCCCCGCTCGCAGGCCTGCCCAACCTGCCTAATCTGCCCAACCTCTCCAACCTGTCCAGCCTCTCGAATCTCCCAAGTCTGCCCAATCCATCCAGCCAATCCTCTCTATCCAACCTGCAGAACCTGCACAGCCTGTCGAGTCTGCCGAGCCACGCGAGCCTGTCCAGTCTGCCGGGCCTGGCGGCTGACCCGGACCGAATGGCCCAATCGCTGGACGCTGCCCAGCCGCCGTTCTCGGCTTTGCGCATGCAGCAAAATCTCGCCAACAAGATCCCGAGCTATGTTCCTCCACAGATTTACAAGCGCCCGTCGGTTCCGATGCTCAAGTCCGGAGGCTTCCTGCAACAGCAGCAACAGCTCCAACAGCTCCAACAGCAGCAGCAACACCAAACATTGCCTCGTGTCGACTCGCTGTCGTCGCTTGCAAACCAAGCCCTCGATCTCCATGGATACCCCACCCCTCCCTCTCACCTCGGCTCACAAGCGCACTTCAAACCCCACTCTGCTGTTCACCCGTCCCAGTCGATGCAGCCACTCCAGCCCTTCCAGCTGGCATCATCGTCGCACGCACCCTCCTCCCATCCGATTCATCTGGGCACACGGCTACTGGACGACGGACTGTGCGAGACCACCCAGCGTGTCCTGTCCCTCCAGCCCGACTATGAGCCCGAGGCCGAGTTGATGATGGGCCTGACTCGTGCGTCTGGACCCGCGCCTGGGCCGATCCAGAAACCCACCCAGCTCACCATCAACACCCAGCGCCTGGTCCCGCCCTCGTCCATCTTCTCGCACACCCAGCCACAGCCACACCCGTCGCAGACTCTTTCAGCTCAGTCGCTTGCCTCGCAGTCCCACAGCCTCTCGCAGCCTCTTTCACAACAACAACAACAACAACAACACCATCATCAGCAGCAGCAGCAGCAACAGTTTCGCTACCAACAACAGCAACAACAACAACAGCAACAACAACAGCTTCAGCCGTCTCACCCGCCTCATTTCCAAACGCCGCTGTCGTCCCAGCTTTCCTTGTTTTCGCACGATGTATTTGCGCCGCCCCATGCGCTGCGAAAGCACCCGTCGCTCCCGCTTTTGGAGCGCACTGGGTTCTCCAACGGCAGCCACGGTGGTAACAGTGGTCGCAGCGGCGGCAATGGCTGCAGCAGAAGCGGCAGCATTAGCAACAGCATTGGCAGTAGCAAGGTCGGCAGCAGTAACAGCGGCAAGGTGCCCGCCTCGGCTTCAGTCTCCTTCTCGGCCTCCACACCTGTTTCGGCCTCAACAGTACCAGGGGTCGCCAACCTCGGACCCATCGGCACTGCGACAACGCCTCATTCAGCAGGGTATCTTGTCGATCGCTCACAGTTCTACCCGATACCGACCAACCTGTCGTCTCTATAGAAGCAACGAGCAAAGTTGCAAATCAAGAGTGTTTACCTTTATTGAATTCTACGACCTCCGCGCACACACACACTCTCTCTCCCTCCCTCCCTCTCACTTCTCCATCGCTACTTTTGTTTCTTCCTGTATGCCTTCCGTTGCGCCCTTTGCTGTTGTCGCTGTTGTTGATGCCGTTTTGGCTGCATCATGTTTTTGTTACCAACAATAATAATAATTGCCATGATTATTATAGACACGGTGGCCGTCTCTGGGTTTCTTGTTGACTGAGGGCGCTGACAGCTCCCCCCCCCATCAGAAGACTCGGAAAAAGCTCGTGGCTTCCGAGGCCGCCTCCCACTGCATTGCAACTGATCCAGCACCGGGCCTCGCCAAGCTTCGCTTTGCGCCCATCACAGTTCAACTTGGCAATAGTATTTTGTTGATATTACATCATTCATAGAACGAAACAAGATAGAAAGAAAGAATAACTACATAACAACGGCGCAGGAGGAGCGGGTGAAGGGTGACGATATTCAAATTCCAAGCAAGAATCGAACCTCAGACTCGAGCCTCCCCTTTCGATACTTCCAGAGTCAGGGGGCACGCATTTCCCCCCGCCCTCGCCGGCTCTCCCACCCAACCAGTCGACCTCCTTTGGCTTTTGAGCTGGTTAATATCCCCCCCCCTCACCGTTCTTTCCACTGCCGCCACCGCCGCCCGCCTCTGCAGCGTCGTTCCCACTTTGGTTGTTCTCTTAGTGGCACGTGAAGGTGGCCGGATCGCACGTATATCCGGTCGAGCAGGAACCAATGACGACAAACTGGTTGCTGTAGTTGCAGACGAGAATGTCGGTGCCGGAGGCGCTGCAGGCATAGGCACCGGGGGTGCAGGACGAGGCCGTGGTGCTGGGGCTGGCACTGGTGGTCGTGGTGGTCTTGGAGGTGGTGGTGGGGCTGGTCTTGGGAGTGGTGGTGGTGGTCGTTTTAGGAGTGGTGGTGGTGGTCGTTTTAGGAGTGGTGGTCGTGGTGGTCGTGGTCGTTTTAGGAGTGGTGGTGGTAGTGGTGGTCGTGGTGGTGGTGGTGGTGGTGGTGGTGGTGGTAGTGGTGGGAGTAGCCGAGGTCGTCACGATGGTGGGAGTGGCCGTCTGCGGGCCCGCAGTGATCGAGATGATAGGGCGATCCCAAAGGTACTCGGATCCATCATCGACGCCAGGGTCCATTTCCGGGATGGTCGGGTAGCCGGGGTAGTTGGCAATGAAGAGCTGGGGGCCCACGAGAGTAGCCGAGGAGCTGCTGGAGCCGCCGACGATGCTGACGTCGACACAGTTGGCTGCGTTCGTGGATTCATGTTGTGGTGATATGGATGGATAGAGTTGATGATGAGCGAGAGAACTATTGAGTTGATGTATCGATGGCTAGGGGAGCAATGGAGTCCCTCCCCCCAAGTCTCCAAACCAACACAGCCCAACATATCTGGCCTGGCAGCCTATCGACGCCTCAGCTGTAGACTTACTGTAGAGCTCACGGTTGCCAATGGCGTTGATCCAGACCCAGGAGAGAACAGCATGGGCCGAGTTCGGGATCGTGGGAGGAACAGTGAAGGTGAACATGTAGCCAGCTGGAAAGTAGGAGGCGGTGTGGCAGTGGAGAAGTGAAGGGAAAGACGGGAAGTGGAAGAAACCAGAGGGAAGTGTGAGCCAGAGGAATCAGGTCGATGCTGATGGAATGGGAGCTGGAATTGAGTGGAAGGAAAGGGCTGTTGGAGAGGGAGACAGCCCTCTTCCTGAGCGGAACTCGCCTGGACTAGAGCCTGGAGCAGCAATCGCTGCTCTCAACGAACTCACCTTCGACGGGAGTGGGGTCCCAGGTGCCATGGGCAGCAGTGAAAACAGCAACCCAGTTGGAAGCGGCTGTGCGAACAATCGAGTAACCAAGTTAATGATTGAGTTATACCAAGTAACCGAGTGAGTGACAGCTCGTTGACCGACTTGTGGTCTGCCAAAGGCATCACAGCCGTTGTCTCGACCTCCCGGCCCGCCCAGCAGACACATCCCACACTCAGTGCGTGGTATGTACTCACTGTAGCTCAGCGACAGGTCATACGAGATGGCGATCTGGACGTGGCCGCCGTCGTGGGTGGCGGGGTTGGGCCAGTTGCCGCCGATGTTGACCGTGTAGTTGGTGCCGGCCTGCAGCGTGGCCAGGATGGGGCCAGTGGGCTTGCCCTGGCAAGGGAAGGTACGACCCGAGGGCTGATCCAGGGGGCTGAGGATGTCGTAGTCAAAGGGTTGGACCTGGATCCCAGCGAAGGCATGGTCAGAGATGATGGACGGGAGGAGTTATGGGCGATGCATTCGATGCATTCGATGCAGCACGGGCATGAGAGCATCGCCGGTCGACAAGACAGTCAAACAGCTCGAACACCTACCGTGCCACCATAAGAGTCCGGCAAGCCACGGGGATGAGGGTTCTTGATGCACATGTGCGAGTGGACACCGGAGAGGAGGCCCAGGACGAGAGTGGCCACGGCGGCAGTGGACGCGAGGATCTTGGTCATGGCGAGACGGAGACGTCAGCGGGGAGAAAGTAAGAAGGCGGGGAGACCGAGCAGGAGGCCGGGCAAAGAGGCAAAGGGAATGAGAGGTCAGCAGAGCAATGCAGACGAACGACCGAGGTGGTGGCGGAGGGAGAGCAGAATGCTCGGCGCAGAGGATGGGGCGGTGGGAAGCGCAGACCAAAGCGGCACTGACGTTGCCATCGTCTTTATAGCCACTCGTTCCCTGCAGACCCCAGCACACCGCCGCCCGCACAGTCCCCACCCGCCAACTGCTCTGCCGGAACCATTCCCATCCCGTGGCCGATGCGGATCCTTCTCGAGCGCCTGACATCTCGACCCAGCGTCATCCGGCGACTAAGGCTCGTCCACCCCACAAGCGTCCCAGCTGCCTCCTTCACCCGCTCATTACCGTCCTGCTCATGCGACCCGGTCCCATTCTTTTTTTCTTTCCCTCTCCCCCCCCTTCAGTCCCGGCATCGTTGCACTTTCACGCTTTCGCAACATGGCAGATTGGATCCTTCTTGTTCCCACGCTTCCTCGGCGCCGGCCCCATTCCCCCTTTCCCCATGGACACGTCCAGGGCACTCCTGACCTCGAGCCGGACGAGCAAGGCAGAAAGGATCGCTGGTCGGGAGCAGTCGTGCTGGTTGAGCAGGATGCACAAGGGACAGTCAATGGGCGTGGTCTCAGCACCCAGCGAGGTCACACCTTGGGCCCATGTCTGAGCCGAGCGGGGAGGCAGGAGGGGCTGGCGACGCACAAGCATCGATGCCAACCTCAGTTTGCGCGAAGCGGACTCTGTTGCAGTCGATACTCCGCTGACGACCAGCACCCACTGTGATGACAGGCCATTGCAGTCGTGCCTGGTCCTTCATTACGGTCACTACCTGTCGCTGCCATCATGAATTATCGAGTGGCTCGCCGCTCTCCATGGTCGCCAGGACTCCTTCGAGACCGGATATGCCTGGACAGGCTTTCCAAGGGCGCGCGCCTTGTCGCCGCCTGGTCTGTCCCTGATCTCACGACACCGCTGCTGTCGTGGGGAGGCACACGAGCGATCCATCCACCCAGACCACAAGCCGCCCCAACGCGGCACAGAACAGAACCATCCGCGGTCCCGTGAACCTCTGTAACGCCACGCGTGACCCCGTGGCACGGCGCAGAGGCACGTGGGCGTGCGACCTGGCTGGCCAGGCTGCTGCGTGGGAGCCGAGCCGAGACGATCGGAGCTGTGCTGTGCTGTAACTGTGCTGCGATGAGCTGGACTGTGCTGGGTTGATTAGCTGCATATACGCAATGTCGGACCTGCGTTGTTGTGTGTGGGCGGATGCGCTGACAAAAGTACGTGCTCCGCGTCCATCGTTGTATGGGCAGCTGTTATGCAATGTGCTGCCGATGCGTTGGCCGAGCAAGCACACGGAGGATGCATCGACAGCTTTGGAGGATGGAAGTATATTGGTTCTCGACTGGTCGCATTCGGTCCTTCCGTTCTTCTGTTCCAAGGACCGACAGCCGCTTGCGGGAAGCGGAATGCAGGCGGCCTGGCAGGCCCCACCGCCAGGTCCCAGCTGACAGGGCGACATGGCAGCGGGCTGCTCGAGGCATCCGCAGCGTCCATTCCATTCCGCGTCTGGCCTGAAAACGAGAAAGATAGCGACAGAACGGACAGTGGAACCGACAGAGCGGCGCGCGAGCAAGCGGAACCGCAAAAATGACCGCATCTCGAAGCAGCCCTGGCGACAGCACGAGAAATGAAGAAGCAAGACGAAAGAGGGGAAAGACATGCCTGGGGCCAACCAAGATAGAAGTGGAATGGTGGGGGAAGCGTCTCGACCGAACAGGTGCATTGAACAGCAAGGCTGGCAACAACGGGCAGAATGTCCGAGCCATGCAAGGTGACGGAAGCGGGAAAGCGTCGGCATGGGGCGAGCACACCCAAGCATCATGCGACCGCTGCCCCGTGCTGGCCCGATGGGAGGCGGCAAAGCGGCGTGAGGATCCACCCCGGCGCGACAGAGACGCAGCAGGATCACAGGACGGCGCTCGGCTGGGCGCCGGACGTCAGGCGATGCGGTGTGATGTATCGTCGGATCGACAGCGGGCAAGGCGGCTGGGCTTGCTCGCAGACACGCTCGGATGCAGCCGAGAGCCCGCATAGCATCGACGGCATCCGCGGAGCCCCCAAGATTCATCTGCAAGAGGCGTCCCCTCAGAACTGGGCCCAAGGGACGACGACCCGGCCCTGAACATGGCCGACGGGAACGAACCGAGGGCCGTGGGAAAGGGCCGACACGGTGGGGCGGCAGGTGACCGCGTGGCGTGACACAGGCGCCACCACCTCGGATTTTTGCGATTGGCCCGAGGATTGGTGAAAATGCGGAAAGAGCCGGTTCGAGCGGGCTTGTTTGGCTGGATGGGGGCGGTTTGGTGGCTCGAACGCACTCCGCGAACACCAAAAGCAACGGCAACTCGGTTGCGCCCTGGGAACGTCCGAGTCCGGAGGCATTCCAGATGCGCCCTGACCAAGACCAAGTCCCGGATGCCGACCACAGTGCGCTGGAAGCCCGATGCCCAGAGTATCCGCCGCTGCTCTGCGTATGCCACCGACAGCGGCCCAGACACCCGTGACACGCGAGCGCAGCAGAGGATCACGTGAGAGAGCAGATCGCCAAGACCCAACCCAGCGGCAAAGGCCCTGCGTTCTCTCTTCCCCAAGCAGGAGTCTCCCATCCAGCCCGAGCTGCAACAGCAACATCCCACCCTGCGATCACGACGCTTGCGAGCAGCCCATCCGGCAATCACCACTGACTCGACCCGCGATAATGAGCCAAATCACCCCGTCCAAGCGAGCCCCTGGGGCCACCCACGAGGAAAGCCCCGCTCTCAAAAAGTCCACGGTGAGGACCAGCTGCAGCAACAGACTAGCTGCAGCAACAGACCAGCCGCGACGGGTGCCGACAGAGACAACCCGCCGGCGTGCCCGTGAGCCTGGCCACGTCTCTGGACACAGATTCATGACTTGATCGGCCTGGAGCATGCATGGATCGCCTTGGACTTGGCTTGGTTGGCGGCCTGCGACTCGGTCTCGGTGTCTCTCGGCTGCTCTCGGTCGCTCTCGCTGCCCAACCAGCAAGCCGCACTCGATCCGCACTCGATCCGCCCCATCCTGCGACATTGGGGCAGCGTGTGTGTGTGGCGCCGCGCCTTGTCTTTGGGCATTCCGTCTTTGGGGCAGCGACGGACACGTGTCAGCGGCTGTGTGCATGTGTGTGTGTGTTGCTCTCCCCCATCCCGCGAGATCGCACCGAGGACACACCGAGATCGCACCGAGACACACCGAGATTGCGCCGAGATTGCGCCGAGATCGCACCGAGGACACACCGAGACACGCCTCGCTCTCGTTCGCGATCCGCGTTGCTTTTCTTTCGCCGCGTCTCCCGATCGCCATTTCCATCCTCTGCCTCGTCATCCACTTCCATCTGCCCATCAGCCATCTGTCCTGTTCGTATTCCCGCCATTGCTCCTCTGCTGGGCCCCTGCAGTCGCCGATGATCTGTCTGATGTTCGCTAACCCATACCCGCATACATCTTGTTGCCTCCTTCGCACCATGTCTCGTGATCTGATCGGCTGCTTGGCTGATTTGCACAATCGGCATTCATGTCGACGTCATCGGCGATCGATCGATCGGCCCGACCGACTCATCACCTGTCAACTTGGTCTACCGACTGTCCCGCTTGCTGGATCCTCCCGTATATCGTTTGACTCGCTGGATCCTCCTTTTGATCCGTCGACGAATCTCGACGGGTGAATCGCATCCGACGACCCACCTGCAGCCCGCCGCCATGTCCTCTGAGTACGTCCTCCTCGGTATCGAGAACCCCCTGCTCGACATCTCGGCCGTTGTCAAGCCCGAGTTCCTCAGCAAGTACGATCTCCTGGCCAACAACGCCATTCTCGCCGAGGACAAGCACAAGCCCCTCTACGCCGAGTTTGTCGGCTCCTACCCCGTCGAGTACGGCGCTGGTGGTGCCGCCCAGAACTCGCTCCGTGGCGCCCAGTGGCTCCTGCCCAAGAACTCGACCGTCTACATTGGCTGCGTCGGCAAGGACGCCCAAGGTGCCCTCCTCAAGGAGGCTGCTGCCAAGGACGGCCTCCGCACCGAGTACCTCGAGGACGAGACCCTCCCCACCGGCCAGTGCGCCGTCCTCATTACCGACCACAACCGCTCGCTCGTCACCGATCTCCAGGCCGCCAATGCCTACAAGATCGACCACCTGAAGCGCCCCGAGGTCTGGTCTCTGGTCGAGAAGGCCCGCTTTTTCTACGTCGGCGGCTACTTCCTGACCGTCTCGCCCCCCTCGGCCCTCCTCATTGCCGAGCACGCCGCCCAGACCTCCAAGGTCTTCACCCTCAACCTCTCGGCCCCCTTCATCTCCCAGTTCTTCACCGAGCCCCTCGACTCCCTCATTCCCTACGTTGACATTCTCTTTGGCAACGAGTCCGAGGCCGCTGCCTTTGCCGACGCCCACAACTTTGGCACCCACGACCTCGCCGAAGTCGGCCTCAAGATCGCCGCCCTCCCCAAGAAGAACGGCACCCGCGCCCGCACTGTCGTCTTCACCCACGGCGCCAAGAGCACCGTTGTCATCCACAACGGCAAGGCCACCGAGTACCCCATCATTCCCATCGCTGCCGACAAGATCGTCGACACCAACGGTGCCGGTGATGCCTTTGTCGGCGGCTTCCTGTCCCAGCTGGTCCAGGGTCACTCGCTCGAGCGCAGTGTCGCTGCCGGCCACTACCTGGCCAACGTCATCATCCAGCGCAACGGCTCGTCCATCCCCCGCGAGTCCCACTCGTTCAAGTTCTAAGTGCCACCACCATCGGCAAGGAGAGCAGGCAGCTGCAGACGGTACCGTTGAGGCAGATGGCAAACGCATTGATGGCCCTGGGTTACTGATGTCATGTGTTACTGATGTCGTGTGTGGCTTGCTGGCCTCGTTGGCCCCTGCAGTCTCTGTGCTCCATGTATTCCTGTTTAGAGGTTGTTGCCATTTTGGCTTCGGCTCACGACGGAATGTCATGCTGAACCGCTTGGCTTCTCCTGAACTGGCTTTTGCTGCACTCCGTTTCGCTGTTCTACTTTACCCCCATTTCCTCTTCCCCACCCCAATGTAGCCCACAAACACACACATGCTCCGATCACCCTTCCTTTCTGGTCACGACGCTTTTGTTGCATTCGACCACGGGCGCTACTTTTGCTTTTACTTTTCATTCACCGGTCCACTGTTGACAGCAGCCACCGAGATGCCCTCGTGAAGCAGCCAATACAGATAATCCAATAACCATGATGAGAGATATGTGAGTGGGCATGGCATCTGTGCTCGGAGATATGTCTGGCAGGCGCCAAGCAGCCCTCCGCCCCCAACGACTCGGCCACGAATGGGACGGTGCAGTGTCGTCGGATGAGATGTCGGGCTCACCATTCCGATGCAAGAAGGAAACCTCCGTGTGGTGTGAATGATTGTTTGTCATCAGGAGCTGGACAAGGGTCACACCATACTTCCAATTCGGAATATGGTGCAAATGAAGCGGCGCATGCTCGATCAGGATCGGGTCCCGGTTGTCAGCTTTTACAGTCGGTCCGGCCGCCGCCTCTCTTTCCCCAAATCTCCCATCATGTCTGAAACCGACGACCTCGTTGGGCTGGCTGGTCTCATCCGCCAGTATCCCGACGGAGTCCTGAACGAGCTGCTCCAGGAGGTCCATGTCCTCGTCCGAAACATCAATGGCCTTGCCGAGAACCAAAACTCTTGGAAGTTCCTCACAAGATTTTCCTACAACTCTCTCCGGACGCTTGCTGCATCGCTAGCGAGTGACCCAGGCTCCACAGCAGCCCAAGTGAATGCCCTCCGACAGGGATATGAACAAGTCCGCCAACTTGTTTCAAACTTTGAGAGCCAGCCCAAAGTGCAGTTGTTGTTTGAAGGATCGACGGCCCGTGGACGTATCCAGAAGCTCTGCCAGGACCTGGATCTGCTCTTCGAGGAAACAGCCGATACGCTCCTCGTTCCAGCTTTGGCTCGACTCGATACCTCAGCACTACAACGTGCGATCGACAAGGATAAGGATGAAGAACAAGCCGTTGTCATCAAAATTGGCTCCCTCCTTCAACAGAACAACGCCACCGCTCTGGACCTGGTCGATATTTCTCTGAACCACCCAGCCTGGAAAATCCGACAAGTAACAGCATATTTGAACGGGATCTTGGAAAGCAGAGATACTCGAAACGGAATCATTCGTAGAATCAGCGCTCAGCTGCTCGAAATGCTCAGAAGTCGCTCAGATGTCGCTCGCTCCATGAAGCACGAGTCCTGGCGCATCCCTGCCAGCTCTATCACAAACCGGTCTGCCCAGCCCATCGCCAGTGGTGGCTTTTCTGAGATATATACCGCGACCTACTATGGAGCGGATGTTGCTGTCAAGCAGCTTCATATGCACTTCAATAACCGAGAGATCATCGAGTCTTTTCGTAGGGAGGTCAGCTTCTGGTCCAAACTAAACCACCCCAATATCCTTCCCCTTCTCGGCGCTTGTGATACCACTGAACGACCCCTCATTGTAACTCCCTTCATGAAGAATGGGACATTGAGCGAATACGTTTCAAATCCAGATAGCCCACACCCCATTGGGGACAAGCTTCGCCTCCTATACGAGGTCGCCTCGGGCATGGCATATCTCCACGGCAACAACATTGTTTACGGGGACGTCAAACCAGTAAACGTCTTGCTGGATGGAGATAATCGGGCACTCATCACTGACATTGGCTTGTCTCGCATTAAGCACTCCCCAGTGTCTTGGAATAGGGTAACGGACCAGCTGGCAGGTGGAACACTGGACTATATGGCCCCAGAGATATTCGACGAAGAAGAACCTAGTGGTGCCTCCAAAAAGACCGACGCCTACGCCTTTGGCATCATGTTCTATGAAGTGCTCGGCGATTGCAAGCCAGTGTGGACAACCAAAGACGGCCAACGCATGAGAACGCGAGCAATCGAGTCCTATATAACGAGGGGCAGAAGACCTGAGCGGTTTGATGGCATTCCTGACGACATTTGGTCTCTGATCGAGCGCTGCTGGCACCAAGATCCAGCACAGCGATCAACATTCGATGAGATCGTCCAGTTCCTGGCGCCTTACAAAGGCCTCGCCAACACCAGGGTTCCAACCCCCATGCCAATACTGTCTTCCGAGAATGACCAAGCGTCGCTGAAGACGGACTCGGACCAAGACGATCCTCCAAACGACGAATCGCCCCTCTTTGCCATCGCTGCCATCAAGGGTGTCCCCAAGCACACTCTCAACAGAGCCAAGCAAGGGGATGCTGTGGCCACTCTTGCGGTAGCCAACATCATCACCGACAAGGATATCCCCGACACACATCTCGAGTGGCGAGTCGCCATCCAGCTGTATCTCACTCTCGCCGAAGCCTCCAACGTTGAGGCACACTTTCACTTGGGCTGGATCAGCTTCCTTGGCCTCGGTGTCCCCAAGAGTGATGTCGATGCCGTCCGGTATTGGCAGTTTGTTAACAGCGCGATCAAGGACGATCGCTCCGTTCTCAGAAGGCTCTCGGGTGCGCTGCTCAAGTGGTGCGTTGGCCTGCGCCGCGGAGCTACCGAGCCGGCTGAAAACTGGAACCAGCTTCCATGGAGCGGCCCAGGAGACTCGCCACTCCACCACAAGTTTTACCGTTGGTGTGTCCTCGGTGCCGAGCGGGATTGGCTCTGCCGAATCCTCCTTGCCGAGTGCTGTCGCTGGGGCACCGGCACTCAGACGAACGAGCGTGTCATGGCCGGCATTTACGAGCAGCTCAACAGCGACGGCTACATCGTGAACGACATATTCTTCGGTCTGCCTGAAGCGCCAGGACCCATCCCCGACTCGAACGCCATGGAAGGAGGGGACCACGACTCTGACAAGCGACAGACATGGCGCATTCCTGCAAATGCCGTCACCAACTGGTCCCGCGAGCCCATCGCCGAGGGTGGCTTTGGAAAAGTGTATTCGGCATCGTACTATGGGCGCGAGGTAGCTGTCAAGCAGTTACTGTGCGATGCAAGTGCGATGGAGCGCCGATATCTGCACCAGGAGATCGAAGTCTGGCACAATCTCAAGCACGACAACATCCTGCCGCTCCTCGGCGCCTGCGACACCGTCACCAAGCCTTTCATGGTCTCGCCATTCATGAAGAACGGTACAGTGCAACGCTTTGTGGCCAGAGCGGAGAGCCCTGTTCCGCTCAAAGAAAAGCTCAGGATCGTGCGACAAGTTGCCTCTGGCATGAGCTATCTCCATGGCAAGAACATTGTCCACGGCGACCTCAAGCCAGCCAACGTCCTGCTGGACTCGGACTATCGCGCGGTGATCTCGGACTTTGGCATGTCCTATGTCAAGCACGCATCAAGCTCGAGCAAAAGAATTGGCGACGCCAAGAACGCAGGAGGTACACTCCACTACATGGCCCCCGAGATGATTGACGAAAATGATCCCCATGGGTCCTCCAAGGAAACCGACGTCTATGCCTTTGGTCTGCTGCTCTGCGAGGTGTTCAACGACGGACGCCTATGGATGACCGGCGATGGAAAACAGCGCATGCGTGATGAAATCGTTCGACTCCACATTCAAAACGGCCGGAGACCCAGGAATCTGTGCAACATCCCGGGCGAGCTCTGGGAGCTGATCAAAGAGTGCTGGCATCAGGCACCCAGCCAGAGACCCAAGTTTGACGGCATTTTGGATAAACTCGAGTCACTCGATCTACCAGAAGTCCCTGCCGATATCTCACCGGCACTGCAGAGTGCTTCGGCATCCAGCGGACCCTCAGCCGACAGAACGTTGGCGGATGGACGCAGCAATGTCCCTTTGGAGGAGTTCATCCACAGCGGATCTGTGTCTGGGTTCTTCATCGCGCTGCTGAAGGAGCACGATCCCAAAGCGCTGCAGGACTCCATCGACACCCTCAGTCAAAGCTCCAAGCCCGATTCGGAGTGGAAGAAGGCGGTCGACCTCCACAGAATGCTGGCAAGCACCGCCGATCTGGTTGCATACTTTGACCGAGGCTGGATCCACTGCATCGGTCTTGGCGACCAACAGGACGACGTGTCTGCCTTTCTCCATTGGCAGCAAGTGTTTGTTCAGATCTACGACCACCATTCGATCCTCAAGTCTCTTGCTGGGATACTCCTGAAGTGGTGCTGGGCCACCGGGCGAGGAACACGACAAAGCTGGAAGATGTGGATTGAGATGCCATCAAAGTGTCCCGGCAACTCGCCCTTCCATATCAGGTTCTACAACTGGAGCGAGAAAGGAGCCGAGAGCGACTGGTTTTGCAAGTTGGTTTTGGCGCTCTGTCACCTGCACGCCATTGGCACCAAGGAGAACGAGAAGCAGGCCATCGCTCTGTTGGAGGAGCTGGCCAACCAAGGCCACTCTGTGGCTCAAGTCATTCTTGGAGAGCGCTACCAGCTCCAAGGTGGTCCCAACGTCCATACCGCCGTCGCTTGGTTCAGAAAGGCTGCTGAGCAAGGCAACGCCTGGGGAGCCTGGAATCTGGGTGTTTGCTATCGATTCGGTTGGGATGTCGACAAGAACATCGACACTGCCGTCATGTGGCTCCGCGAATCGGACACACGCGGCTTCCCTGCTGCCGAAAACACACTCTCGGAAATCGAGGCCCTTGGAGAGTAAGCCGTTCGAGAGTACTGGGCCTGGCTTACCCTGTGATGGGACCCAGAGCTGTGTGGCAGGGAAATGCGGATAGCTGCCTCATCATCAGGTCGCAGACACAGTATATAATCCGATGTACAGCCCAACACGATCACATCATCAGTGAAACCTGTCCTGTTTCATTCTGAGCATGTCGCATCGGATATCAAAGCCGATTGCTGGGTTTATGCATGGTTGACTGGCTGGAGCGCCACACAGCGCCCAGCGTGCAGAGTGATACCCAACAAGGACATTGGTCAACCCGGAATGCCCACAATCCTCTCGGCTGTCGCCGCCGAAACGAACAACAACGACCAGGACGGCATCATCTGGACCAACTGACGATGTTGCTGATAATGCTGGGCGGCCTCATGAAAGCCTCAGGCTGATAGTAGGGAACGGCGACGTGCGTTTTGAGTGCTTCACGGTATTGCTTCACTTCGAGCTGGGTCTCAGGCGTATTGAGATAGGTGGGCTGGATGGACGAATGCATCAGTATGGGGCTAAGTTGGGGGGGGGTGCAAGCCAAACTCACCAGGATAGTCACAGGATGGAACGGGGGCGCGAGGCTCCAGATGATAACACCGGACGACGAGGTGGCCACTCGCTGGGCCCAATTGCCAAAGAGGGCGTGCGGGGTTTTGACCATATGGATGCCATGGCGGAGCCACAGTGGCAAACGGTCAATTTCGACCCACTGGAACAAAGTAGACGTCGCAGAATCGGGAACAAAGTCACAGGGACCCTGGCTAGAGCGGACAAACTCATCTCCGCGACGAAGCCAAACAAGCTCGGAGCCGTTCCGTCCACGAGCCAAAATCGAATTGCCGTCAGATGATACGACCACGGAGCTCACAGGACCTTTGCAGCCCTTGAGTATTTGCCTCCGCCGACCAGTGGCAGCATCCCATATTTGGATGGTCTGGTCGTCAGAGCCCGAAGCAAGCCACTTGCCATCAGGGGATCTGGCAGCAGAGTTCACGTCGTCGGTGTGTCCTTCGAAGGTGTGCTTCAGCTGGCCCGTGGTGGCATCCCACAACTTGATGGTTTGATCAGCCGAGCCCGAGACAATCGACTCGCCATCAGGCGAGATCGCTACGGCGTTCACCCGGTTTGTATGTCCTTCGAGGGTGCGTCGCAATTGGCCAGTGGCGACATCCCACATCTTGATGGTCTTATCACCTGAGCCAGAGACAATCCATTTTCTATCGGGTGAGATCACGACAGAATTGACGCCGTCCGTGTGGCCTTCAAGAGTGCGCTTCAGCTGGCCCGTGGTGGCATCCCATAACTTGATGGTCTTGTCCCAAGAGCCAGAAACAATCAACTTGCCATCGGATGAGATTGCCACAGAGTTCACCCGGCTCTTGTGACCAGTGAGTGTCATCTCACACGGATCCCAGGTGGGTGCTGGACCGCAGGTGACCAGGAACGGGATCTTGTCCTCGAGCTGGGTGGCATATGTCTTGTAGATCGCCGTCTCCTTCGGTGTGAATGCATACCCCGAGTTGTACACCTGTGGTGCACTCTTGATGACGGGATCGGCAAACTCGCGGATGAATCGATACGTGTCCTTGACCAGTTCCTTCGTGGTGTCGTCGATGATGGTGCTGGGTGCCATGTTGGTCACTCCTCGCAGCACAGCCAGTTGCTCGATGATCGGCTTGACCACATGTGTGAGCGACCCACACTCGAGCCAGAAGAACACATGCGTCTTGACGAACCGAGTGAGCACCGCTGCCACATCGACCATCTCGGCCGACTGCCACACCGGACTCGACTCGGCCTCTCCGTCCACACACCACACAAAGTGTGTGATCCAGTGGGCGATGCTGTATCGCAGCGACGGTGTGATCGTGGCTGAGACCCTGTCCTCGAGGTCTGGGATCTTGTCGTGAAAGTCGAAGATATCGCAGATGTTGATCACTGGCTCGTGCGAGAGGATCACACCGAGACATCCCTTGGCAAACACCATGTGGAACGAGGTCGATACATGCCACGGATGGCCAGTCGATGAGTCGCCGAGGAGATAGTCCGCCACCGACTTGTGGTTGAACTTGACCTCGGTGTTGGTGGACTGGCTGCCTCGGGGACCCAGTCCATTGGCACCAGGATCGAGGACCAGACTGAGGCTCTTGAGACACTCGCGAACGACGCCGATCTCGAGTCCAAACACATCGGCGATGATCTGCGGGGTCAGGATCGACTGGGCCGTGGCGATCGCCGACACCACCGTGACCAGCTCGGCCGGGTGGCTCGACTGCGAGTGGATCTTGGCGAATGTCTTGTGGTACAGCTGGCCGACATCGGCGGCGCTGTCGTTGATGTCCTTGATCGTGGCGAGTGTCACTGGGCCGTCTCTGGATGCTGCATCGACGGTGTTGAGGAGTAGGTTGATCCACACGAATGTCTTGGACTGGTCCAGCAGGATGGCGACTGCCTCGGTGCGGTTCGAGTCACTGAGAGTGTCATACACTCGAAGTCGGTGGTGGATGAACACCTCGAGGTCACGGATGTTCTCCTCGCTCGAGGGTTCGATCGTCTTGGTCGGGACTCCATCGAATGCTGCCTTGATATCGTCCTCGGGTCGGGGATGTCAGCAGCAGCTTGAGCCACGGACGGGTCCTGTTCAGTTCGACGAAGCGCACGGCAAGCAGACCGAGCAGCTGGTCGCGCGGAGAACACTCGTCGAGTGCATCCACCAGGATCATCACCGATCCCTTGGGTCTGTAGTCGCCGATGGCCTCGAGTGGATCGGCAATCACGGCCTTGAACAGTTCGGGGATGCTCATCTTGTCGAGATTGTCCTTGGAGTGGCCGGTATCGAGCAGTTTGCGGCTGATCGGCGAGTACCACTTGCACAGACCGTATGCGATAGTATTCAGCACCACTCGTGGATCGCTCTTGCGGATGTCGTTGTACTTGAGGAACAGCGCCGACACCAGCTGGTTGGTGGCCGTGAGGATGTTGGCGATCTGGGCAGCAGCGACAGACTTGCCCACCCCAGCAACAGCATTGACCCACAGGACAGTGTCGGTGGTGTCCTGGTTGACCCAGTCGGTGGTCTGGTTGAACAGCCAATGACGGGTACCCTCGACATACAGATCCTCGAGTGCCCTTCTGTCCAAAGTGGAGTCGACAGGATCGAGGAGGAGTCGCAGGAGCGAGTCTTGGTCGGCAGTGAGCTGGATGGGACTATCCTTGTGATGTGCTGCTCCACCCCTCGCTGCCTTTGCGGTCTTGGTGACGAGTTCTCGAAATGTTGGAGCCAGGCTGAAATGGAGAATGTGGGTCAGTAACGAGTGTGGATGGATTAACATTCACAGTATTCCCTCGACTTACTGCCTGAGCGCCGCTGTGTCAGCAGCCGTGAATGTTTGGAGCTTGAACAGCTCCTTAAATGTCTGTTGGACGGTCAAATGCTCTCCATCGAACAACGGACTCTTATCGTGAATCGGAGGGTAGTCAGGAAACTCGTTGATGGGTGGGAAGTATTCCTTCTTGAGGGTCTCGTCGCCGAACTTGCGGGTGGACCACATGAGCACAGGCTGGACGATGACAGGGTGGTCGGTGGTGGCAGTGTCCTTCATCCGCTTGAGGGCGTGCTGGATCTGTGGGGCGGAAGAGCGTAAATATCAGCATCGAGCGGTGCATATGGAGGGGTGTGCTATCCCGACTGAGAATGGCACGGCACCTCAAGGAGTTGGTTGTCGGGCTGGACATGAGCGTTGAATGTGCGCTTCAGTCCCTCCTCGGAAAGGAGAATGATGATCATTTTGGATATGTACAAGGCGTCGATGGAGCCCTGCTCCCAGTCCTGGTCGTCGTCAAGGCACTCCCGGTCGAGGTATGGATGGAGTGCCTGGTGGCCCAGAGGAGTGCTGGCGAGAGTTCCACGCAGGGTCGATGCGCTCTCGGCCTCGCTGTTGGCCCGGTAGCTGTGAGAGGAGTGTTAGAGAGCGGCAGCCGAGCCCGAGTGAGCGCCATCAATGTCGATGCGACACCCACCTGATAAAGACATCATAAGTGGGATTTTCGTTGCGATAGGCCCAGTCATCCTGGGGATGCGATCTGAATGAGGCGGGCTCGCTCATTGCTGCGTTCTTTGATGGAGCGGATGAGACCAGAGGACAGATGAGGTGGATGCATATATAGGCACCCGCTCGATGGGAGGGTATCCACGGCACCCCCTGTCCCGCGGACCCGATCCAGAGCGGGACCCCTTGGCCATGCGGGTCGGTCCTGTGTCCATACATGGTGGCGATAACGCAGTTCCCACATTTCCGAATCAGAGCATGGACGACTTGCTTGGGCTCATCCAACCTTATAAGTGCTGGTGCCGATCCATCCAGTCTGTGCGCTTTGAATCACCGACGTGGCAATGATATTGTCGGCTCCGGCATCGCTTCTCCCCGATGCCGCTCTTGCAGCCATTTGTTCATCCAGGGTGTCAACGAGTTGGCGGCATCGGATGTTGAGCGCAAGCGGGACATCAGCAGCGTTGCTCTGGCTTGGCGCCTTGCGATACCGGTCGATAACCTCGCCTGAGTGATAAAGCGCCGTCTCTTCGAGCAGAATCGGCCATGGCGATCGCCACTCCAACCGCAAATCTTCGCTCAAGCCAGGGATTCTCCCGGGGCATGCTCCGTTTTCCCTTCCCCAAACAAGCACGCTCCTTCCCGTGCTCTTGGGTCACAAACGTCGCTGCGGCTGGAACCCAGCGAGGCGAACCGTCCTCCGCTGAGCCTTGGCCCGACAGACCAGCTTCGATCTCAACACCCGGATCGCCATCGCAATCGGGCACGGCCCATCTTGAGACTTGTCCCGAGACTTGTTCTATCCGAGACTCGGCTGGCCGAAAGCCATCGAAACCCGCCTGCTCGCCCGCCGTCTCTCCGCCCACGATAGACCTGCTCCTCCCATCGTCGTCCGTCGCCGGAAAAGTACGAAGCCTGCTCTGTGTTCTCTCGTCGGCTTGGTTCCAGCGTCCTTTGGTGCTGAATGAGCCAGAGCCAACATTGTGGATGCCCGGGATCAAAAAGCCCATCGGCGGCTGCCAAATGCTGGTTTCTAATCGTGCAGCCGTCTCCAACAATCCAGACACAGCCTACCCCTCCCACCACGTTCATCTGCAGCCTTTCATATCGACTCGATGGGCTCCCAAGCGACCCACCAGCTGCTTTACAGCTTTGAAAGCATTCCAAACTTCCGCGATGCCTGCGGAAAGTATGTGCGGCGACATCCGTTTGCATTCATATAACTCCCAAGTTATCACTGCCCTCATGCCACGGCTCACCCTCGCAAAAACCCACCACGTTGTACTCGCCGCTTGGCTCTCTGTCTCCCGACATCTGCAACTCACCCAGTCCATCCCATCCAGATTTGCAAAGTCTGGGCTCGTCTTTCGCTCGGCCACGCCCGACCTGGGCACACAATCCGACGTCGACTTCATCACCAAGAACCTGGGAATCAAAACTATTATGGACCTGCGTTCAAGGTATGCTGTGCACCAGGAAGACCAAAAGCAGGGACGCCGGAGAGTGCTGAGTGCGGTGTGGATAGTCCAGATGACAAGACGAACGTAGCTGCACCCAAGAGCAGGGCACCTCACCAGCGCTGTCCCCACAACCGTCGGAGGAATGCCGTTGTTTTGCCCGCAACGTCGCTGAAACCGACCCCGGAGCGAAGACTGCAAGTAGCAGGTCTCGCCTGCTAGTCCCCGTTTCTGGATCTGGCTGCGATGCCCACTTGGCAATGCGGCCGTTCGGTTGGATCACGGTGCAGCGGACTTGACACACTCGCCTATCCACCCGCAGTTCCGAGAAAGTTGCCGAGGAGCCACCGCTTATCAACCAGCAGTTCATCCAACAGGTATTTCCCTCTGCTCGTCCCTCTGCTCGTCCCTTTATCCGCTGGAAAACCTCACTTGTGCCCACTTCCCCTCTTCCACTTATCCACGGCATGCCACTGATGACGCACAATCCAGCGATACCGCACCAACGACCAGGATCGAGTGAGAATCAAGTTGGATTTTACCAAGGCTCTATATTTACCTGTATTTGCATCGCTGCCCCTTCGATCCAAACTGTGAGTCCTGTCGATTGAGATCACCGCGGCATCGCTGATAGCTGTGTCCAATCGAGGACACTGGTCGAATATGCTGCATAGGTTCCCGCAAGAAGTGTGGGCTTGCTCAAAGGCACCACCCACGACAGGTTACAAACCGCCACTCTCCCTCTGCGTGGTTCCATTGCGCACCACGGGCGGCCTTGCAGTCCCATCCCAGAGGAGTTTGGCGGAATGCCAGCTTATCATTCGCCGCGAACAACTGCTCACCTGCTCGTTGCTCCCTGCACCGATTCGTCCATTGTCGATCTCAGTTCGTTGGTCGCCAGCGTCGCCACCGCCCGACTCGACGATGCAAAGCGGGTTGCCCTTCAAGATAGTGCCTTCAACCGAGATGGGCTGCTGGGCCTCAACAAAGTTTTTATTACTTACTGTGGCCACTATATCAAGCGTGCCTTTGATATTCTTGCGGACGAACGAGCGCATCCGATCCTGATCCACTGCTCTGCTGGAAAAGACCGCACCGGCTTGATTTCAGGTGAACGTCAAGACGGTGGCGACAATTGAGTCATTTCAGCAACCGCAGTACTGTTACCCAACAGCCCCTGCCATCGTCTTACAACAGCACCTGTCGTGTAACATCCCTGATTTCCTCCGTCTCTTTGCCAAATCACTCTGTCGCTGCGACTCGATGTGGTACTTTGGATTCATAGCCCTACTTCTCAAGGTCCTCGGCGTTTCGGACCAAGACGTGGTCAGTGACTACCAGCTGTCAGAAGGCAATCTCGTCGAAAGTGGATTCATGGGGAACATTGTAAAGGAAGCCGGCAAGTTTGGCGTATCAGAGGAGTTCTCAAAAAGCCCGCCCGAGGTGAGAAAGCTAGCCCGACTTTGGGACACAACATCTGCGACAGGAGAAACCCAAGCAGCGGGAGCATATGAACAGACTGCATCCGTCTCCCCCCCCCCTCAAACGAAACGAGGCAAATGGAGCCTAGATCTTGGTGTCTCGAGCACTCCTGTATACTGCCCTGGCAAAGTGCCGCTGCAATCAATTAACAGCCTTATCCACTCTCGGCTGACAGGTCATGGAATCGACTCTGGCCTATATCCAGAGCGAGTATGGTGGCGTGCCGAACTACCTAAGCTCCATTGGCGTCACCCCCGAGATCCAAAACAGGATCCGCAGCTTGCTCCTTTAGACACGAAGATGGTAATAGAACTGCCTTGGTCGTGTCGTCTCCAAAGCCAACGGTGGAAACGACGCGCACATATCCTGACCTTCACATCCCACCACAAGCACAAAGCTTTGAGACTTGGCCCATAAACTTGATGTTGAGGCGTCTTCGATGCGTGGCCTGACTCGACAATGTGGGGAGGGGATAAGCAAGTTTCAAGCAATAGAGAATCGGTATTGCCGACCGAGTCACGGCGCATGTAAAATAATGAAGAAATCAGGCGGTGGTTGCTGGTAGAGATTGCTTCCCTTTGGGTCCCGAGAAAACACTTGCAGATGACATCCGAGACAGGAATGATACTGAACATGTGTTCATGGTCCTTCTCAACGCTGGGATTGGCGGTAATTAATACGAACAAGTCAGGACGGGGGAGCTCTCAGGCACCAAACAAAACATATACCAACGATCGTGGCTGGTTTAATTTGGCTAATACCAGCTGGGACCCTCGCAACTCGCTGAGCGTTGGTATTTTCTCTGACAATCAATAAATTCGTGCCAAGGAAAAGCGAGAACAATAGCCGACGAAACATGATGGCCGAACAAACGCCGCTTGATTCACAATTGCCTATCGCCGCCATGACCTCCGATCTGCATCATCTTGAAGTGTACTTGGAGCGCTTAATCAAGGCCAAGGATTTGGCGGATCATATTGGAGTCGGACGAAGGACTTGCCATGCTTGAAAAGCGGGATTATCTATCAGTCCGGGTACGAAGACGGAGATCCAGTCGAAGCCGGGATCTTGAAGGAAGCAACGACGATGCAATTGATGGACTGGAAAGGGAGAACGAGAGAAAGAGGAATGGAAATGAATCGTGTGGAAAATGTGGTGATCAAGTCCCATGCAAAACAAAACAAGGTGAGATATGAGGCCGGATCAAGTACAGATGAAAATGTGGGGGTATGCGGGGGAGAATGTGATGTGGAATCGAAGGGTTAGAAGAGGATTGTATGTGTATGTCATTGAGGAAAAAGAATGAGCGAAAGCCCGCGTGGCGCAATTGGATAGCGCATTGGACTTCTAATCCAAAGGCTGCGGGTTCGACCCCCGCCGTGGGTGGTTAAACATTTTGTTTTGGACAGTGACTCAAACAACGATAGGACATTGGTTTGACAATTTTCTGTTGTCAAACCATGACGATGGATTTGCGGCATGAGTCGATTGAAGTGTGGGTTCGATGGATAATCGACAAAACTGAGAGAGACACAATATGAACGATGGTGGGGAGAGTGTCAACAGCGTGAAGACTGGAACGGATTGCAGAGAAGAGAGCCTCGATCAGGACGAAGAGCACCTGCGCGAGGAAACGGGAGATGCCGAAATGGGCCAAGGGAATCAAATGGAGGTTGAGCAAGGGGTTGAACATGATCGAGACGCACACACGAGCGGCGATGGTGCTGGTCGTGTGGGTATGCGGATATGCGGATATGTGGATATGTGATATGTGATATGTGATATGTGGGTCGAGAAGAATGGCGGCCAGCGGGAACGGTGGCGGGATGGTGCAGAACCCACACAGAGGCCCAGCAAAGCTCATGCAGAAGCCCACACAGAAACGCTGTAAAACCCACGCAGATGCCTTGCGGATGCCCTGCAACAGTCAAGCACAAGTCATGCAGAAAACAGGCGAGAGCCATGGCGACTGAGCCGGGGGAGGGACGCCGCGACACACCTTGGTTTTGTTTGCATTGAAGCTTCCGGTGCTCATGGCGGATGGAGTTGGCGACGGGGAGGAGCGGGAATGTCCGAGGCAAAGGAACAGCGGCAGGCCAAGAAGGCCTGTGCGCAGCAACAGCCAGCAGCAACAGCCAGCAACAGCCAGCAGCAACAGCCAGCAACAGCCAGCAGCAACAGCCAGCAACAGCCAGCAGCAACAGCCAGCAACACCCAGCAGCAACAGCCAGCAACACCCAGCAGCACACATCGATGGCCACGACCAGTCCGAGCCGTGGCTGCTGCAGGGGTCTGTGAAAATTGAAAATTGAAAGCGCAAAGGCAGAGACACCAAGGCGCTTCTGCATGTGGCTGAGAGATGGCGATGGGAAACAGGCCAGACGGCAAGAGTGAGAAACACACGGCAGAGCCAACACAGGTTGGTTGCAGACCAAAAAGAGAATGGACGAGGCGAGAATCGAACTCGCGGCCTTGGGATTATGAGACCCACGCGCTGCCGACTGCGCTACCCATCCGTTGGTTGTGCCGTCATTAATTTCATATCCTATATTACTGTATCAATATCGACGAACTATTCTCCCAGAGCCACCCACCACACCACCATCGCAGCCCCGCGATACCAAAATCTTATCTCCGTATGCTGATCAAACATGCATCGTCATACCGTCACCTATCTATACAACACATCGCACATCGCACATCGCACATCGCACATCGCACATCGCACATCGCACATCGCACATCGCACATCGCACATCGCACATCGCACATCGCACATCGCACATCGCACATCGCACATCGCACATCGCACACCATACACACCACACACCGCACACCGCACACCATGAACAGGATTTTGCCATAGCTGGTTGTTCGACGACTGGGGTTTTGTCCCTTGAATCTTGTTCCTTGAGTCTTGAATCTTGAATCATGAATCTTGGGCTCCGATTGCGCCGCCTGTGAGCGACCGAGCTCTGCCCACCCAACTTGTCTCGTTGCTCAGCTCATACCGCCTCCTATCGCGCTTCCGGCCCCTGCGTGCCTCGTCTCGATTCTCGATGCCCTTCGTGTCTTCTGCCAGACCAATACACGACGCCAATTATGCCCTATTCTGGGGCTGTTGCCATCGATACCTTTCCTGGTAAGTGCATTTTTCCTCGGCCGTGTCTTGATTGTTTCAAGAGTGAAGTGGTACTTGCAAAACACCAAGCACCCACCCCATTGTTGGAGCGAATTTGCTGATACAGATACCAGAGGGTCTCGGTTGATTGCGGGCACTGCCGCCGATGGCGTCACGGTATTGCGGCGTCCAACCGGGCAACAAGATACAGAACAGCAAAATCGCCACTGGTTCCGTCGGCAATCAACCGAATGAATGGATAGAATGAAAAGGGCCATGGGAATGCACGATACCATCCGAAGCCAGCCAACCCAGCCGCGGAAGAGGAGGGTGGTATGGAAAAAAAGAATGGCCCAAAAAAACGCCAAGCAAAAGTGCATGGTCCGGGAATCGAACCCGGGTCTGCCGCGTGGCAGGCGGCAATTCTACCACTGGACCAACCATGCGAGCTTGACCTTGATCTCAACTTTTGGATCCACAGGCACAGGCTCTCCGTCGCTCTTTTATTAACAAACCGCTCAACACTCTCAACCAACGACCCCCTCCACATGCCCCCGACCCAAACGGCCATCAACGAGATGGCCATAGACACCTCGGGCAGCCCTGCTGCCCAAGAACCAGGCCAACCGGACGAAAATCGCAGCCTAGGAAGCAACGGCCATCAGGTCAGTAGCGCCAATATCACCGAGGCCACCGAATCAGCACCCACCAAAAAGCACCGCAGGGATGGTGAGCCCATCCAGCTGCACGTCGGTCGCAAGAAGACCGTCGAAGAAATTATCGAAGAGCTCTATGCAGATTCGGCAATCTTTCCCAACCCGCCCGACGTGGTTGAAGAAAAGAAGTGGGCCCTCTCGATCCTCGAGAAGGCCAAGAACAACACTCTCACCGACCAGGACTTCATCCCGGTCGATTTCAAAGACATCACCTACCGCCGCTTTAGGTTTGTCTTCGCTCTGAAGGCAGACCAAGTTCAATGCTCCCGTTGCAGAGGGAGCAAGCCCCCCGCCTGGCGTATCGACGACGCCCAGCACTCGGTCGTCTGCAAGAACATGCTGATGAGCCCGGACGCCGCCACCAAGGTGGAAGAATGCGGGAAGCATTTTTCCATCCTCGTATTCTGGGGCCTGATGACCCGCCATGACGAAGCCGGATGGAAGCTTTTCGAACAACGGGCCTCCCTCGCCGATGCCAGGGCTGTCGGGAAGCGCGTCTGCGCCACCGACATGCGCAAGAAGCAGAGTCCCCAACAGCAGCTTCAGCACATCCAGAGTGAGCTTCTCAAGAAAGCTCAGAAGATTAACGAAGAACTCGCCAAGCTGGACCTCAGCAAGCCCGAGGAAGCTGCTAGAATCAAGGCCCTGACCCAGAGCGCCACCGAGTGCATGCAGACGCTCGCCTCCGAGCTGGAGCATGCGTCCCGGGCCATCTCGGAACGCCCAGCTCCGACATCCTACGCAGCAGCCGCCCAGCGGGGTGCCAAGAAGCAGCCCGACAACAAGACAATCGACGCGCGCAAGCTGGCGGCCCTCGAAAAAGTCCACCAGGAGGCCGATGCCGGCAAGAAGAACGAGGCCATCGGCGCCATCCTCCGCGGCCGTGACCCCACCGACGGCAAGTGGCTGGTGCCCAAGACTGCCACGCCATTCAGGATGATCAGATCCTCGGTCCCTGTCGAGGAAGGACCCTTAAAGGATAGGATGGACAACGCCGCTTGGGTTTACGTCAAGGGTATCCCTCGGGGTAGCTACCGCACGATCAGACAAGCTTTCAAGGAGAAAGGTTTTGCCACCAACCAGATTTTGAATATCAGCTTTGTCAACAACAGCGTCTGTGAGTTTGTTCTCAGAGACAAGAGCTCGAGAGAAGAATTCTTGAAGCACATTACGGACATGAAATTCACTGAAGTCGCACACATGGACGTGTCGAAGATCACCGAGGCCGAGAAGGAGTCCAAGAAGCTCCAAATCAAGAGCTTCATTGAACGCGCTGCCAGGATATGTGCGGAATCCAATGACCTCCTCACGGCGACCTTGTACCAACGGAAGATGAACGACCCAGCCGTCGCCGAGCAGATCACTGCTAAGGCGAAGGAACTGGCTCGCAACAAACCAGGCCGCCAAGAAAAAGGCGGACGCGAAGGAACCACTCCTCCCCGCAAATGATGCAGCCCCAACCTACGCCCACTATTAGGTTCGCGACCCTGAATGTCTGCGGACTTGAAACCTCTATACACGAGGTTATCGAAATGGTAAAAGCAAAAGACCTCGACTTTATAACAGTCCAAGAAACGTGGCTCAAACCACAGCAATCCATCGGACCTTACAAGAACCTCATAGTTTTCGAAACCCGAGAGCCATATGTCTCTGTCGACGGCCTCGCAAGAGGCACCGGAGGAATCGCCCTCATTCGGAACCCGAAAACCACCAACCTCGAAGACTTTAGCAACTTCCGCGTTGGACCTCATCACACGAGCATCTGGTTCAAGTTCCGAGGCATCGTCTTTGGATCTTTCTACCTCAAGCCTGCTCTATCAGCCAATGCGGCAGCCCTGCAAAAGTTCCGAGAAGCCCTGTCGGCCATCAAGACCAACACCACAGAAATGAACAATCCTATCCCATCTGTGATCATGGGCGACTTCAACACCCGCATGGGCCAGACAAGCAGAGACACCCATGAAACCGCCAACCGTTTGCAACCACTGCGGACAGCTGTAGCGGGCGGCTTCCTGGAATTCGTGGATTCGACCAACCCCACGGGGCAACACTGGACCCACGTCGTCAACGGGAAGAAACCACAACACTCAGTACTGGACCTCTTCTTTGTCTCGACGGCACTGAGACACAACGCCAAGACGGTGACGGTCCACTCCAACGATACCTGTAACTCAGACCACCGCATGGTGTCGATGGAACTTGAATGGAACGCCGCCAGAGAGCCTGCCCGCCCACCAATCCTCGTGTGGCGAACCAACAAGCTCGAAGATCCCGAAACCCTCCAGCAATACACGGAAGCCTTTAGAGTCCACCACCCAGTAGTCGTAGAGCAGATCACACAGCTGGGAACCCGGCTACCACAAGAGGATGGACCTATGGCACGCGAAGACGCCGAAGCCCTCGTTGAATCTGGGTGGAATATCATCAAGAACCACGTCACAGCGGTGGCACAAATCGTCATTGGGAAGCGAAAGAAGGATGGCCCGGCTCCCCGCAACGGCTTTTGGACACCGGAAATGGCTGACATCAAGAAACGACGAAACACGGCTTATCGAATCGTGAACCGGTCGCCACAAGGCTCGAGAATCCAACTGCAGGCCATGGCCGACTACGAAAACATGAACAACAAACTCAAGGACCTCATACGACGACAGAAACGCGCCTTCTACAACACCTGGGCCCAGTCTCTCTCCACCAAATCGGACTCTGAGCTCCTCAAGGAAATCAGCAAGCGAGACAAGGTCAAAAGCGGCTTCTTCAACCGGTCGATTCTTCCGAACGACCAAGACAGCATGGACCAGTACCGGTCCCACTTTGGGAACATCTCAAGTCGTCTCGGTGTTCAAGAAGCCAACGATACACCGCGTCCTCAGGAAATACTATTCAGTCGCCTCTTGGGCCGCGAAATCACAGCAGAAGAAGTAAAAACAGCCATCCGACGCATGG